GGATCCATGTTCTCATTGTGTTTACGCCAAATTCTGACTCTACCATCTGAATGTCTCAACAGAAATCGAGACTCATCAGACCAGGCAACATTTTTCCAGTCTTCAACTGTCCAATTTTGGTGAGCTCTTGCAAATTGTAGCCTCTTTTTCCTATTTGTAGTGGAGATGAGTGGTAGCCGGTGGGGTCTTATTCTGTTGTAGCCCATCCGCCTCAAGGTTGTGCGTGTTGTGGCTTCACAAATGCTTCGCTGCATACCTCAGTCAAAGTTGCTCTTCTATCAGCTTTGGTTTTGTGAACTAAAACTTGTCTGGTTTTGAAACAAATAACGTATGTTTGTTCAACTACCATGGTAGAGCCCAGTTATTGTAAACAGAAAGTCAAGCATGTTCAACTGACGTGTGCAAGAAGAACATTTGTTCATCATCACTCGAGTGCGCTTGAGTTTCTGTTTATGTTTGCTGGTCAATGTTTATATGCAAGTAAAAAACTAAATTCAATTAATTCAATAATATAAAGCAATTGTCTCTTAAGATATTTTGGACTTAACTGCTCTAGATAGTTGTATGGACTGTCAAAGAAGTCTGTATCCCATTTCCTATGGACTGTCTAATTCTAAACATATATCCTAAACATATGGGGAACAGACTTCAACATAAGTGAGGGACAGATTAACAAAGTCTTATGGGTTTGAAACGACACGAGGGTGTCATTGAAGACCTATTTTTAATTTTTGGGTGAACTTGGCCTTTAATGCACCAGTATACTGAAGTCTATAAGGTTATCGTCGTGAAATGCACTTAAGCAAAAACTAACACAATAGAAGGATATAACTTGCTTATAATACACTTATCAAAATTATAAGTGACTTATAAAATTTTTTAAAAATTATCATTCAGTCTTTCTTTCACCACATAATCATACGGGAAAACAATATTGGTATTTACAAACAAACTTTTCAACTTAACTTAACCTACGAACTATTTGAGTCAGATTTGACGGAAACGTGGAAAACGTGGAAACTTACTGGTCAAAATATCTTCTATTCTTGATATATATACAATTGTACTATGCGAAAATTAACAATTAATGACATTCAGTGTCATTGTTACTTTCTAGACCACTGCTGCAACACTACCGTGTTGTTGTCACATGATACCGGTTCATTTTCTCACCGTTGATTAGGATTAACCAATCACAGTCGTTTGGATTAAAGTTGTTGTTGAGATTACCAACGCGGATTTTCATCAGTAAATCAGGTTTGCAAAAAACAGAACTATACATTATAGCATTAGCATGTTTCCAGGATAAATAAAAAATACAAACAACCTTGATGTAGAATTCGGCTTTCTGGCCCCCCAGTTTAGTTTCCACAGGTGCTGGAGTTGTTTGTGTCTCATAGCACCATTAGATAGTAACATATTAGCAAATTCACACACAAACTGCGTGACACGTGTCAACAAATACCGAAACAGTCAAAATCTCATAAAATTTGAACATGGTTGCAGGTTATACCACTTACAAGCACGAGAGGGCAGTCGCGCTTGAGCATCGAATGACAAGAAGTAGCCTCTGTCACCGCGCTATCGGCTATCCACAGGCTTTTTAAACATTTAATCCTGATTACTGAAACAAAGGGATAAATACGCGAGCGCCGACATTTATACTATGAAAATATCACGCATAACAGCCCTTTCGATTTCATTTCTACTTTCTATTTACCAGTTTATTTAATGATCCGCTTCTCTAGAACTATAATCATAGCTTAATCTAATAGGCTATCACGCTATTTAAATCCCGTATACCTCTCTAGAATATAAATTTTCTTTCTTGACCGCCTAGATAACCTTGCTTCAGTCAGGGCTCTACGTCAGCATCCCTGTTGAGGTCATCACATGCGACATACGATGTACCGGGTATGAACGACAGTGTGAGAGAGAAAAAAAAAAGTTCCAGCATCCGAAACCTGTTTTTAGTCATTTGCAATAAACAAAAGTAACGTCCAAATATTTCGTTCTCTGTAAAACGTGTTAGGTAGAACAAAAAATGATCTTATTCTATTTGTGGAGCAGGCGGATTAGGCTATTGGGCCGCTTTATCGGACGTAAAAATTCAGATCCATTCATTGAGCCACTAAAGGTTAGAGCTACATAAAAACGTCTTACCTGCATATCTGAATGGATGATGCCGTTTGTGCATTTGAAGTAGACATTATATGAGCTTGCGTCGAGGCTCGTCTTTGACCCCGGTTCCGTGTGTCGTAGTGAAATAGACTGAGTCAGGCGGAGCGAGAGCTGCAGGTTTGAAGGATAAGATCGATTGGCCAGGCTTCTTCCACTGCAGTGGTAGCCTATAAGTAAGACATGATGAAAATCAAACTGTTGTTGATTATTTAGCTTATGTACAGGGCGCGAATCGTTTATCGATTCTTAAACTGTTTTCAGAAAGTTTGCTTTCGTTTATTAGCGGAAGGTTACACATGTGGAGATGGACTAGCTTAAACTGTCCCTTTGTTGTTCTCTATAAACCAAAGAAACGTTTTTATATAAAAAAATATATAAATATCAACAATTTATACATTCTGGACTTTAGGTTTACCAACATGTATATAGCCTACATTTTTGAGTATCAATATTAATGTAATAAAAACTCGGGGTGGGTTTTCCACAGTTGAACTTAACCACCGAAAGGTGGCAGCAGAGACCAGGTTTTCCTGCAAGCGTTCATATAATAAAAGAGACGTTTTTATATAATAAAATACATATACATTTATAATATGTAAAAAATATATATATATATATATATAACATTATTATAACGTTGTATTATTAACGTTATATTATTATAACATTATAAAATATACACATATTTATATAATAAAATATACATCAAACGTTTATACATTAACTTTAGGTTTACCAACATGCAAGGGCGTAACTTTGGGTCTACCATTGGGGGGGTTAAACTCGCGCCATATTTATTAATTTATTTATTTATTGAATAATTTTCTTTTGTAAATGATAACATGCTAATTTGCCGTTCCTGTATTAGAAATACATTGTGATACTTTTATTCCCCACTTCTGAGGTAGGAAAGGGTTCCGAGCCCCACCTGTCCCCAATCAACTTAACAACATGTTAAGGTTGAACTAGGCTTTAAGTTTAACTGTTAAAATGTATTTCATTAACATCACATTGTAAAAACTTAACATCCAATAACAGAATTAAAAACTTTCAAATAGAGAAAAAAGAAAGTGCAATTATATTATCACTTTGCATGAAATACGACTCAAAAGTAGATAGAAAAATTGTGTTTGCATTTATATAGCCTCTAATAACATAAAATTCAGAAACTGAGAAAATTGTGGACTAACGTTAGTTGTGCTTTGATTCATTTTGTCACTTTGCAAACTCCATGCTAAAAGAACAAAAAATAAAATCATAATAATAATAATATCAAATTGAGCTGAAGGTGGCAAATTCCTAATAATGTTCGTATAAGATGCTACCTAAAATAAGTTGCGCATAGCCAGCAAAGGTGTTTTAACAACAAAACACATCCACTTGCACATATTTGACAATCGGAATATCAGATCCTAATATAGCTAGCAAATTGTGAAATTCTGAATAAAAAAATAAATAAAAGCAGATCACCAGTCATTCAGCTGTTGTGGCTGCGGTGTGACAAGCAAGGACGCGTCTCCATGGGAACCATAAAATGATACTACGATCAATAACGGTCGCCTTGAAAAACTTTTAAACTTACCGGTACGTGTGAAAAGGTTAAGTAAGGTTTACATTTAAATGTGTCTTTGTTTTGTTTTGAGTGTATGGTCAATAAATAAAGGAATTAAAAAGATGGGCACAACACCTGTTTGTCGTGCCCACTCGTCGCGCCGCACTTTGAGAAAACTTAGCAATGGGGCTAACTTACCTCCGTTTGGTCAGGATTTTTCCTTTCTTGGAGCCGACCAACAATTAAAAAATCGTTGTCTGGCTGCCTTTCAATGTCCTTTCCATCTTTCCATCCGTTAGCATGCAACTTCAGCTATTTCCTCAAACCATTCATCCCAGCGACTGCGCAACATGCTAAACAAACTTGGTAGAGAAAGCGGGTTGGGTAATACCAAGTCGGTGCGGTGGGCAGAGGGTACATTAAAATATGATACTATCTATCTTGTTGGCAAAATGTATTTAATATTAATTCGGAATCTGAATGATTCGGAATCTATTCTAATCTGAATGATGTGATGATATTCTGGGGGTTATATTAGCTGGGTCTGATTTTTGAGGGGGTCATAACCCCCCGCAAATTACGCCCATGCCAACATGTATATACTTTGAGTAACAATGTTTTACACAAACTCGTTTCTTTTCTTTTTTTTCTACAGTTGAACTAAACCACCGAAAGGTGGTAGCAGAGACCAGGTTTTCCTACAAGCGTTCATAAAGAGGACGCTGTCAAGCTGTCACTGTTCATTTGCATTTCTTTATTGCAAAATAATGCTTCTCTATAAAGCACGCTTTGTATTTATCGTGAAATTTCTACGCGAATGAGTTTTTACGTGCATATTATACGCACTGTGAACCCCTTGTGTATAAGTGGTGTGGGTACGTAGGCTACACGTCATAAAGTGCTATCATATGCAAGCGAAAACTGCGTATTATATGCACATAAATATTTATTTTCACGTATTTAACCGTGCTAGAGACACATTTCATGATTATTAAGACCAGATTAAGACTGATTTAGAAGACGCTTTTTTGTTCTTCATGGTTCATTCAAAGAATAAGCATATAGGCCCATGTGTTTATCTGATATTCAATGTGATAATAGCTAGGCTACTCATTGTCTTCATTTACGCGCCCAAATCATGTTTTTGTAGCGAGTCCATGCTTTTCCTTTGTGGACGAGCTCTGTTTGTGCTCTTTAACCCATTTTTATTTGACTTTAGCTATTTGTCCAGAAAGAATGATGCAAGGGAAACCAGCTGTGTATGCCGCAATTTTATTATAAAGTGTATAGCACAACACAAATGTATAAACAAGTATTCCAAATACATAGTATTAGCACATCCACCCAAAAAAGAGATTTTAGTGAACAACACAGTGCTTACAATTGAATAATCCGCACCAACTCAGGATACTGAAGTGTGAGGCGCAAATCTTTTACCATTAATAACCCATGGGGTTTTACAAGGCGTTTTCAAGAGCCACCGACGATTTAACCCGCAATGGGGAATAAATCTATAACCACGTTATGTACAGGTCACGCGCAGGATCTTTATGAAAACAAAACTATTTAAACGGGTCTGTTCCATTACTATACACTGGACTGTGGGGGAAAAAAACAAGTATACAATACTTATATGTTATTTGATGACTCGTTTTCATCATCAAGTTGCCTACGTTTTAAAAGAGACATAGGTTGCAAATATGTACAATTCTGATAACAGTCATTTGTGTGGTAGCCTAGATCTACCAAGGTCTCCAGACTTCAGCGTCGGTGATCACTGGCACGGGCTGTTGACTGAGAATCTCAGCGTTGCTTTTGGGGTTTTGGATTCTTGAGCTGCTAGATTTCAAATTCAGAAGTTTTTGCTGGATTTGTGACATCATTTTGGAGCTCTGTGCACAGCAGTTCTGGCAGGCCGGTGTCTTGGGCGTCGTGGAACGCTGGAGGAACTCGTTGACGCGATGGCGCGTTTCTGTGTCGAGGTTGGTTTGCGCGATGCGAGCTGAAACGCGCTGCATGCAGGTTGTGTACCCCTCTTTAAAACTAACGGCACCATCTGTAAGCAAACAATAAACAGGCATACAGTTTAGTTTACTTTGAAAATAGTTTACATCAGACGAACATTATATGAGTCGAAATGGAAAAGATAGCCAATCTGAAGAAAACTGACCTTTAGAAGGAGTGGATTGAATATCAGTCAGGAATCGAACGGTCATCTCCAAAATATCAGCTTTCTCCAGTTTAGAATAACGGCAATTCTGAAATAGAGAACCAAAAAAAAAAACGTTACACATCAGCACTTCACGTTGAAGACGGACTATCCAATTATCATGCGTTTAACATATGCGTAAAACTTACATCTTTGCCTGTGAGCGGGAGAATGAGCGCTTTTAATCGGTCGAGGCTCTCGTTGATGCGCGCTCGTCGTTTCTTTTCCAGTAATGGTTTTAAGGTTTTTCTCAGTTCGTTTGCCTCCTTTCTCATGGCCACGGTGCGGGGCGCATAAGACAGAGCAGATACAGCAGTTGCGTTGGGAGTCATGGTGAGGTTGCTGTGGGAAGATCGTATGCTGGATCGAGGACCCGCGCGGGCTTTATATTCCTGACCGGCGCGTCATGGGAACGCCCCCCACGCCTCAAACAACTCCTCTGGTCAAATAACTTTAGACTGTAGAACAAAAGGACGCGTCTGTAGCGTGTATACATAATTTTCCACTTTTAATCTCAGTTTGAAAATCTATTTACCAACATATATTATATTAGTTGATATTATACAACTTACTATAGCCTATTCGATATAGCCTGCTGTAATTTAATTTTTGCTCGTTCACCCATCATGTTATATTTCGACTGAGAGATGCTATTATATATTTAAACTACCCTTAGTTTATTTATATTTATTATTTGACTAATTTACCCAATCTTTCAACATATGTTATTGCGTCTTTACGCGCCATTTTCCCTGTTGAACGGAATAAAAGCCTGAAACTGTTTATGAACAATTTACATCTATTATTTAACGTTATATCTTATTGACAATGCTTTTTCTATTGTTCTATCAAATAGAGGCTTGCGAAGAAAACATGTTAATGAGAAGTAGAGGGAAGCTGGTGACGCGTAAGGACACGGGATTGGGATCCAGTTTAGGGCGGGATAAGCATTTATAATTTAAATAAAACAGACAGATTCCCAAGCCACGCCGTTTTAAAGTAACATCTGTCTGTAAATTTTGACAAACAATAGCTTTTCTGTCTATGATGACGTGCGTCTTACACCTGTAGCTATACCGCTGGCGTTCATGGGGAGGGGTTGTGCGCACGCGTCCCCCAGCAGACCGAAGTTGCCATGCAAACCAATATGTGATCACTACATTCAACAAACATTGATTTGGCGAATCAAGCAAATCCACGTTCATTTGTTTGTTTTAAATTATAGGACGTGGACTATGCAACAAAAACTATGTTTGCGTACGCACGCCTGTTGTGTGTTATATTTTCCTTTAGACTATGTTTATCTACATGAAAACCAAAAAGACGTTTAACCCATGATCGGGTTTTCAAATATTTCAGCTAGGGGACCTTGGAGCCCCATGGGATCCACGCGTCCTGCACGCGTCATGTAGAGGTCTCCAGATGGCCTCCCCTCAACCAACTCCCCTTTTAATGATGGTGTAACTTGTGCCCCTCATCTTTCAAAAGTTCCAGTCTTTCGTTGTTTTCTAAAAGCATTTTTGGCGTCGTTGGCCCATCTGCATGCGCCACGTCAATGGTTTTGGATTACAAATGATCTAACAAAAGAGAAGCGTTATTCGTTTATTTTACGCGCAGACCTGCCGCTGTTTTTTAATGTGAAAAGCGCCATTCATATGCTATTCTGCTTGAGACGCGCCTAGTTGGATCATTTATACCAGATATAGACATTTTATTATATTCAAACTGATGCAAAACGTGTTCAAAATACAGCTAAGCTATTAAAGGGAAAAAAAGAAACGGAGGCTGCGAAACATCCCCAGTTAATCTTATGTCAGCTAGTGATATGCAATTTCAGTAGAGTGACATATGTTTTATTTTAGTTCTTGTTTTATTAATTTTACACATGTATGTAAGCTATGCGTTTGTAATAATAAAATGAACACAAGGGAGCGTCAGAGTTGCGATGTCTCTTTTGGTCATCACCAAGTGCCCTGCACGCGCCCCGTTCCCCCAAGGGTCCTTTAGGGAGCGTGTCAGCCAATGTTTCACTTGCGATGCGTTCAGTTACAACTCTTTTTGTTCCTTTTTTGTATTTTAGCGTGGGTGCCCCATCTGTGGCATCATAGCGTACACTCACATAGAGACCTTTTGTCTAAACTCAATCCAGTACGTGGGAACAAGGTAGTTTTAAGGAGCAAAATCCAGTAAGATGAGCTGCACATGCTGCACAAAACCCTATGTCGAAAACCATTTGAATATACGAGTGGGGGAGGTTACTAATGACAGTTAACGGTATTTAGCATGTTAAGACACTCTTCTTTTTTGTTACTTGGTCTTTATCGTCTGCCACAGATCTAAAGATAAATGCTCACTGAAATAGTGTATGTTGCCTTATTCAGAAATACAAATGCTGTTAACATTTGAATGCTGCTTTTATATTGAAAAAAATATATCTTTAGAATACCCATTACAATTTGTCTATGTGGTACTAATCCTAGGTTTTCAGTATTTAGTTTTTCTTTGAAGGAGTAGTTCACTTTTAAAAACACTTTTACTGATAATTTACTCACCCCCTTGTCATCCAAGATGTCTTTCTTTCTTCAGTCGAAAAGAAATTAAGGTTTTTGATGAAAACATTCCAGGATTTTTCTCCATATAATGGACTTCAATGGGAACCAAACGGTTCAAGGTCCAAAAGACACTTTCAGTACAAACTGCAAACTGTTCAAAGGGATTTAAACGATTCCAGAGGATGAATAAGGGTCTTATCAAGCGAAACGATCGCTCATTAAAAACAAAACAACAACAACGTTTTACAAGCTCAAATGGTCGCCTTGCTCTGTTAGGGTGTGATGAGCGTTTGTGACTCTAATATTCGAACTCGTTCATCAAAATGAACGAATCTTTTCCCGACTCAACCTGTTCATTTTGTTCGTTAAATGAACCAAATGAAACGAAAAAAGATTCTTTCATTTTGATAAACGAGTTCAAACAGGAGAGTCACAAATGCGCATAACAGAACAGAGCAAGGCGACCAGCTTATAAAACTTAAACTTTGTTATTTTTTTTAATGACCGATCGTTTCGCTTGATAAGACATCAATCTGAATTCATCGTCTGAAATCGTTTAAAGGCCTTTGAACAGTTTGCACTGAAACTGTCTTTTGGACCTTGAACCGTTTGGTTCCCATTGAAGTTCATTATATGGAGAAAAATCCTGGAATGTTTTAATCAAAAACCTTAATTTCTTTTCAACTGAAGACAGGATATCTTGGATGAAATGGGGGTGAGTAAATTATCAGCAAAAGTTTTTTTTTAAATGTGAACTACTCCTTTAATACTAAACCCAACAGGCTCTGCTCCCAACCATGTGTCGAGTTGCGAGTGAGAACATGTTGTAATGCATAAATATGCATAAATACATGCAACTAACCCTAAACCAAACCAAACCCTAACCCATTAGTATGGTACTTAATATTTCTCAGTAATTAAATATGTAATTACAGTGTAACAAAGACATCTTAAAATAAAGTGTACAATAATTATTTATAATACCACTGTATTTACCATTACACTACACTGTTAAAAAAAAAATTACGGAGAAAATTGGCAGCTGTAATTACCAGAGTTTTACTTTTAAAAATACGGTAGCAACATTTTAGGTTTTACAGACTTTTAACCGTATTTAATTTTACAGCAATAAACCGTATTTCATTAACATATATAATGTCAATTTACTGACCTTTTTCAGTATTAATATCTGTTTTGTTCAATTGTAATACACTGACAGCCAACAATTACAGCAGTAATGGGAGTCAAATGATTAATCAAAGCTCATTATAACCAGAAATAATAAGAACGTTCATACCACCACCGTAATATATAGAAGCTGCACAGTGTCATTCACACAAACATTAAACACCATCATGGTAACATGTTGAAATTAAAAACATGCAATAAGCATTAATTTGACAACATTAAATGTACTGCAACATAAATATGTACCTATAACTGATTAGAAAAAAAAACTAAGAAAAATATGAAGAAACTGTTAAAAAAAACATTAAATGTGAAGTGTCCCTCAGGGAATTGTGGGAATGTCAATTTACATTTTTTTCTCTGTAAATTATACAATTAAATGTAAATTTAACAGCAATTTACAGTAAAATTACATTAAATGTACCATTATATATATCACATTTATTTACCGTATATAGTAGTGTACAGTGAACAGTTTTTCCACCGTAGAATTTTACAGTGTTTTACTGTTAATATCACGATCTTTTTTTAAAATTAAGATGTTTCACAGCAATTGCTGGAATAGCCAAATCTCTTCATTAGATGGGGGTGTATAGTTTTACTTTTTTTTTAGTTTAACAGTATTTTATAGTAAAATTATAGGCTATAAAGTGATGGTTAAATTTGCAGTTTTTCACTAACTGAACACTTTTTGTACACTAATTGTTGTAAACATGTAAGTTTTCATTCATTTCATACAAATTACAAATGCATCATTGTCAAATATTTTCACAATTTACAGTAGGCTAGTTCAAGACTTTTATATATCAGGGAAAACAATTGCAGCTCTTTTTGTTGGTTTTATACAAATCACACACATTCATGTAACATTTGTCCAAACTCATCAACAAACAAAACTCTCAAGTGCACATGGAATGATGATGAAAGGGAGAGGTTGAGTTGAACAGGTTGAAAGAGAAAGAGAAGAGGAAAGAGTGTAAGATGAGGAGGGCATGGAAGAATCCAAGGGGAGAAGAAGGGATTGTGGAAAGAGCACAAGGAGGAAGGGGACAGCAGGATGGAAGAGGGGGGAAACGGAAGGCACAGACAAGATTTTAATGAAACGAGTCATCCTAATTGACCATGTGATGAATCAAGTCATTTCCTTGAGAGAAGCTGGAAAACAGATCCAATGTTACTATGGCTTGTTAGCTATATCTTGTGGAAGGATCACTGAAAACCAATAAGTATCACTATATTTTGCCCGGATCTATCAAGACTGAATTTCCGATTAACATTAGCCAGGACTTTTAAATTTGCTTTTATGTCAGGGGCTCTGGCTCCCGGCGAACATGTGACCATGGTGGCTGGTGTCTCTATTTTCACGTTCCGTGTAATGTAATCAAATAGATGTAAGCTAATGTAAGCTAATCGCCAATAACTAGGCCACTTTCAACAGGATTCTCAGTGGGTGCTTCACTGAGTGGAGAGAACCTGTTTATTGTTGTTATCGGAGCGAAAGAGCGGTGTTTTGTCCCGCGACTACAGCGTCTCACTCTCACGGTCACCCACTTAACGGCCGGAACCGAACAATGTGCAGAGCTCACTAAGGTAGTCGCATCCAAAGCAGGATCCAAAGCCCTTGCATTCTTACTATCCTCGATTAAAGTTCGGATGCGTCTCTAGTTCTGAAATCTTT